TACAAAAAATCGACAATTTTCTTTTCCAAACACTCCTTTTATTACCTCTATATATTTTAGGCAACGTTTGAGTATTAAACTGTTGCAAAATTTCTGTGGTTACACTGTCGGTCGCATTTACTATGTATCCGTAGCTCACTGCAACATGATCATGTATATAATTTGTATTGCCTTTCGTATCATTCAAGGACTTGACTAACAAGCTTTCAATATCAGCATAAATTGCCAATGGATGTTCCTGTGTTTATTGCCCCATGACTCGAACTTTAATTTAGTCCGCTTTTCAGGCATTACAGGTAAAAACGGTTTATTTTCGCCGTAATTTTTTTTTATGTTCTTCTAGTGCTGAACTCCGTGTAGCTTATACTTTTTAGGTATATTATTAAAGCCCGTGAAACATCGTTTACAAAATATTCTTTTTGCCGTATTTTTTATTATTTGTGACTGTACTAATAGTCCAAAATCAGTGATATAAGTATAATGACTGTCACCTACGGCGGTTGACACAATTAGCAAATCGATATGGTCTTTACGTTCTTCAGCGCACACTTTCAGCAGACAAACTAAATATTCGGGTTTATTATGTGTATCTTTCAATTTTAGTCCGAAAACATTAACTAAAGTATGAGGATTATTTTTTTCAACAATTTTTATATCTGAAATTGGTGTCGGGAATGATAAACCGAAGAAATCGTAAAAGTTTTCTTTCGACTTATAGTTCTGACTTACTATATATTTGTTATCACGAGTCACTTTTCTTGCTAATACAGCACATTTAAAGCATTGAGGATCTATGTTTTGCTGGTTTATTACAGCATTTCTGTTTTTAATATCATACGGCAAATCAATGTATGAACTCCCTCCTAAAGGCTGATATTTGTAAACATCCAGTAAAATACCGTCTATATTAGAAAACGAGAAATTACTACCTTTACCAGCGTAGTTTTCCTATTCTTCTAATAATTTTGTGTATGACATATTCACAGCATGATCGATATCGTCCTCGTTAATTAACTCGACTATTTGGTTTCATAATTCGGAACCCTATAAGTCGCCTCGATTTTAAGGTTGAATTTTATCAGCCCCATTTCTTTAAGACAGTTGCGTATTTTTTTAACTAAATCGTCTCTTGTTGCCGACAAAAACGATTAATACCCGACTACGTTTTCAATATTCTTTTTGTAAAACCATAAAATTTGACTATTTAATGATACACCCTTTTAATGAAAACCGCTCGTCGAAATATCTTGTAATCGTTTTGCCTTTAGCATCTGTTACATTGTTTGCGACGTTTAGTACTAATTGCACTGGGCGCAGGACTAATGCTGTCCTGCATTAGAATGATTCAATAGAGAATACCTCAACAATCTACATTTTCTAAAACAAATATTCATGTATTTATTTTAGCATATACATTTTTAATAATATATTTTTTTTACTTACCACTCGTATTAAAATAGGCATTTTGTGCAGATTTGAGATTTAAAAAAAAAATCCCACATTACACCATCAATCTAATCAGCATTACAGAAAACCATCTTTATAATTAATTAATAAATATTTTAATCATTTATCTTATACAAACATTTGTATCATATACAATATTATTCATTTCCAAATTACCTAATATAAATAATAAACACATATGTTCCTATACAAAACACACGTATTCAAGAAATTTTAAAAACCTTTCACAATTTCACACCATGAAATCTATACAATATCACAAATTATACCGCTATAACATGACATCTTACTTGTAATGTATCAAATTTCATTAATGAACCGTTACATAAACGTAATAAACACAATATAAATTTTATAAAAATATACAACGATTACTGCCCTAGAACCTAATATCATCCGATATTTCACAAACACGTAATATCATCTGTTAACCATCATTCCATGAAAACATAAACATACAATTTTATTAGCATACCTTTCAATGTTATTCAAACTCACCATCCCCACATACCTTTTTCAATAAATTAAATTTTTCTCACACTATAATTCCCTAGAACAATATAACAAAACAAAGTTTACCGGAGTAGTTAGATATAAATTCCAATACAAAAAACAAAAACAATACTATAATGTAAATTAAATATAATTTTAACATTGAATGTTCATATACAGGGTGTTCAGTAAGTTAGGAAACAGTTAAATTGTTACAAACAATGAGTACAATAGAAATTCGTTTCCTTATTTACTGAACACTCTGTATAAAAATATACAATATTTCGTGCTTTAAAAAATAAGTACTTGAACCACACATAGAAAATTATGCCCATTTCTATTAAATTACTAAATTAATATCGAATATTATTACTAATATATATTAAATTACTTATAGGTTTAAAAAAAAAAAATTCAGAACAAGGATATTTTAACTTCATAATATTTGATCCAAACAATTGAATGCATTTTCTGATATCTATAATAACACATGCTTATAACATTTTAATACTTTTATAACTCTTACTTACTTATCATTCTTAAATCCAAAATAATGCATTTAGACAAAATAAAAAACAAACAAAAAGATCAAGCTCTAAGAAATGTTAGTTTAATTGATGATTATCCACAAATAGAACAATTTAAATTAATAAAAGAAATAATATATGAAAATTCCAATGAATTAGAAGTAGGATTTCCACAAAATATATTTAAATATTCAGAACCGTCTGAATTGTCTCGAATTAGAAATTCTTTTGTCCAAAATCACATAGATATAATTAAAAAAGAGTACAGAAACCTCTTTGGCTTAAATAATAAAATACAATTCTCATTTGTCGATCTAAAAGTCGATGAAGATTATCACATTCTAGTTCATAATACAGATAGATGTATGCGTGACATAAAAATGTTTTTAAATAACACAAATCAATCTCCACAAATAAAAGAAATTAATATAAAAATATCTCTAAGTGCCAATCATTGGTACGAAATATTAAGGAGGGAATCATTTTTTATGAGATGCAGAGAATGTTGCACACAATTATTTTCTTGGGAAATATAAATATAATAAAAAAATTTTATACCACAGACTTTATTAATATTCAATACCTAATATAAACTAACTAACATAAATTTTTTTTTCTGAGATTAACTCTTCGAATATTTATCATTATTAAATTCTAACTCAAATAACATTTTTTTTTAACTCTATCATCATAATACCAACGCATCCCAATAGAGCGCATAAACCACAACATAATGTGTTTTTTCTCATATACGATGTATGAGACTATAGCTCCCTTTAAACCAGCGCTATCAATATTTTTTAGGCAACTTCTATAAAATAAGGACCTAATGTCCTTTTTTTTGATCATCACTTTATAACAAAAAAAATTGTATAGCATGTTTAACAAAGTAAAATTCTCAGCTTCGCATCGAAGCTAAAAATATTAAATACCCTCCTAAAATTATTTTTGTATTAATATTGAAATAAATAATTTCAATAAAAATCATATCTATATCAATTATTTGTATACATTACGTTTCTATATATTTGTATAACTCTTTGTGTTTAAATAGATGCTACAATTGAAATATTCAGAATTATATTCCGTATTGTTATATCCTATAATACTAATATTCAGAAATATTCCGGACCTAGTTTCACCTGATTTCGATCGTTGATATGATGTTGAATTTATTTAACCCTAAATTTTTTTGGTTATTTTTAGTTTCGAAGCTAAGAAGGTATTAATTTTACTATGTGTTTTTTTGTGTCTGTTACCACTTTTTCTCAGCTCTCACCGAACCCATTTCTTTCAACGATACGTCAAAAGATCACAAATCGTATATAATCGAAGACATTACACTCAAAAATTGAAAAAATTTCCCTCGTTCCCCGTAAATGGGGGAAATTTCCAAAAAAATTACTATTTTAAGAATTTGATATAAATTAGTTGTAATTCTAGTCTTAACTGTGATATTATTCTGTACTGTGATATTATTATTAAATAATAAATATATTAAGGTAAAACACCATATACAAGGTTAAAGACTATACTACATAAATATACAAAAGAGTTTTACAAAAACAGAGTTAAAATAAACTTAGATTTCACCTTGGGTAGATTTGATATAGAATTGTTCTAGAAAAGTAGTTACACGCGAGTTAATAATAACATAAACCGTATAAATATAATTTCGTACATTAATGCATACACGTATACATCGATAATTGTTACATCAATTACATCATTCATCTCAAGAGAATATCTGCCTTATCAGGATAGTCAGAGGTAAGTGAAACATTTGTTTATATAATAAGTCTATAATAGATCCTTTACTGAAGAATTTTTAGTAATAAACAATTAGAACAAGATAGGTCATTGAGAATAAACTAAAATGTTTTTATAAAGAAATACGATACTTGTGACTCGACGGAAATTAGTGTACGCGTTTCTGTGCAGGAGCTAGGTAGTGACCCTTCTTTGTAATTCCATCTTATTCATATATTAGACGTTTTTACACAAGCATACATACCCCGAGATCTCTTTCTATTTCATTTTATTGTAGTCACTGTCCCGTATCTATAGCCACTTTTACTTTCCATTGCTGCCCATCCTTTTTACACTACGCCCTCTACGATTATTATTTCCTCATTGGCCACCTGTGTTAAATTTCTTTACATTTATTTCTTTTCACACCTAACAACATTCCTTTGTACCGCTACATAACCTTTTTAGTTCTTTTTGTTTATTACAGTAATATTAACTCTCCTAGTTTGAATAAGACATAAAATTTCAGTTATTTTTCAGTCATCTTTTTCTTTAGCTATTGCAAAAAATAAATTGATATATTTAAACAGGCTTAATATAAAACCTTGAATTGTACAGCAATATATAATATATAAATTATTTTCGTACATTTTTAATTGTTTGGTTAGTAAATTTAAAATTATGTACACAAGAAATTCGCAAACATTACTATATTATATTTTTTCAGCATAAATTTATTGTTTTATATTTAGTATATATAGTTATCAAAATTGTATGATATTATTTGGATTATCATTTGAGATATTTTGTCTAACGACTGTTAATTATCCTGCAAGTGACGACAAGAAATTTAACTATGGTGAAATCAACATTGCGTTCAATCATAATTCTTGCAATTTATTGTAGTTTTTCTAATGCGATTGATTGGAAGAAATATCCCAATGGAAAACTTATGAAGTCAGAAGTAATATTTAGTGTTCCCAATAATATTATCTTAGGTGAAATAAACGGTGGTAATATTACCGATGAGCAATATCACTTGGCCATGAAAATCAGGTCGTATAAATTATTATATTTGTTGGTAAATTATTGTAAAAATACAATAAATAGTAATAATATAGAAGCATTTGGCCCATTAAGCCAAATTACAAGTATGATTGATAAACCAGTACAAAGAATTATCGAATTCATGAAACATCACCAAATAGATATTTATCATTTAGAGAATATTGCGAACCGTAATGTTTTGGTACGAAATTATTCCAATATAGCTTTCTATTTTAATAATTTTGAAGAATATATTTACCGTTTATTATTTCATGATATCAAAAAATTCAATTTTGAATTATTAAAAATATATAATCATTATTTTGATGCCAAACTAGATAAAGCAATTGAATCATGGACGCTTTTTTATAATTTAACAGACGATTTAGAGAATGATAAAGAATCAGAAAAATATAATCATCCGTCTATAACAACGAATTGTGTGCAAACAACATATTATTTTTATAGAAAAATAATTACTGAGTATACAATTAAACCTTTAGTAGAAGAAATTATCCCGGAAATAAAGAACAAATTGAATATCCTGTGATGTAACATTTTGACGTATCCTTTAGAATAAGACGACAGACACAAAAAAAAAATCATATAATAATACAATTAATATTTGAAACTTAAATTGTAAATGAAATATTTCATTGGAAATTTGAAATATTAATAGTTATTTTTTATGTAATAAACAACGGATATAATTCTTAAAATATATGTAACTGACATTAATTAAAATAATAAATGACACGGATCTATTGAAAAATTTTCGTTGGCTATTTATTTTAATGTTGATTTTCTATTTCAATAATCTTGAAGCTATCTAAAAGTACTGCAAAGAGCTTTTCTGCTAGAATTTTTAAGTGTGTTATTCCTAAACGGAACTACGCTAGCCAGTGCCACAACTAGTTTTCTTGGGCCCCACCCCAAGAAAACTAGTTATGTTTGAAGGACTAGGCCTATATTAAAAGTTATAGAGGTTATGAAGTGGTCAACTTTAGAATACTTAGATATAGTGCTCACCTGGTAAGTTTATTATTAATGCATTTCGATTAGTGCAAGTCAAGTAGTGTTGTCTGTATACATTTCAAAAGAGTCATATTCAAAAATGGCCTAAATTTGTCTATAATATTTTTGCTAAACATTTGCGTTCAATAATGGCGTAACATTTTTGGACGTCCGATACCTTTCTACTCGCGTAAGTGACGATATTCCTTTTATTGTCGTTCTGAAATAATACCACCTCGCAAACAGTTTATAAGTAGACGTTTTTGGGCACCCTGAGGACGAAAAAAATGGTGACCTCCAAATTTACATGTTAATGTATACAAATGCGTTTTACTGAATGTGAAAACTCTTTCCCTTTCCTCTTTTTTGAGCAGTTTGGTAATGTAATCTATGCTGCCGCGTATTTTTCTACGAACAGTTCAAACTATGGACGCACTATAATTTTTTAACCATTGCAGTCCTTCATTTTTATCACGCATTATGGAATTATTAAAAAACTTAAACACATCAAAAAGTTAGTTAACAACTAAGATGTGTGTTGTTATTTGATTATTAGCACATTCTTTAGGTTAATTATTATTTTAATATTGTAATTTTTATTTCAATGGATGTACTTGTACAAAAACTAAAAGGCTCGATGCATACCTATTTAAAACATAATGGATTAACAAATATAATTCAAATTGTGTGTTTCTATTTTTATTAATGTACGTATAGGAAATGAGAATTTTTTACCTTTGACGTCCAATTTCTTACAGTGGAANATTTTACCTTTGACTTCCAATTTCTTACAGTGGAACAATCGCCAAAATAATTTTTATTTTAACCTTATAATACATTACAAAAGCATTAATTTAATATAAGTTTAAAGAAAGCAGTTGTTTCGGAAAATTTCCTAAAATTGTGTTTTGACGTGTGTGAAAAAATATAATTTTTCATGCGTTTTTTCAAATCATCTTGTACTTAAGTTATTCATTGGATTGTCATAAAAGCATACCCGATTAAAGAATACTTTGTCAAGTATACTCTATTAAAAATTTTAATAAAATCAGTTTTTAAAGACAAGTTATAGCAGTTTTAAAATTTTGTATGAAAATGTTCTGTTCAAGACGTTCTGTTTCTATCTTACACTGAAAAAAAAAACGATAATAAAGTCAACAAATTATATTACAAATAAATAGCGAAAACTTGTATTATTATTTTCGTTAAAATTATTTCATCTGACGCCATACAACTACTGTTTGATTTTAAACGTGTCGTTACCCAACCCAACGCCACTGTTGTACTTCCTCCCGTAAACAGTCAATCACAAAAAGCTTTGTTTTTTCAGTGATGGCGTAAATATTATCTTGTGTGGCGTTGTATGAGAACGGTTGTTTTGTGGACGCCCTTATTGAATTGTCGTCTAGGGCGTTTTCGTTGACAGGGATATGTATACAATTCGAAAATGGCATATTCTAAAAATGATATTTTTTTTTCTGTGGCCCATATGGTCACTAAACATTTGCGTTCAATAATGGCGTAACGTTTTTGGATATCCAATAACATTCTACTCGTGTAAGTGACAATATTTCTTTCATTACCGTGCTGTAATAATGTCGTCCCCGCACCCAGTTTACTGACGTTGATTAATAAGCAAAACTTTTTTGAGAACACAAACCCTTTCCACTTTTTTGAGTAGCATGTTGCGAAAAAATTACTAGAAGTGTAAAATTCCTAGAAAATATATATATTAGATTATGCTACTCTAAAAATGTTTGTACAAAATATAATACAGCTTTTACGTTAACATTGTTTTTCAATTACCTAAAACATATCAAATATTTTTTTCAAATTTTCGGCATTGATAATTTTAATTAGATTAAACTACGGTTCTTTTGACGCATAGTTCTATGAAAGTTGAGAATTTCTTTTTAAATTATATTAATTTTACTTTGGAAAGTATTATTATTGCTTTGGAAATAAAAATTGTTATTATACTATCATAACACTTTAGATATCATAACAATAATATTAAATTTAATATTATTAATATTTTTAAGAACTGATGAAAAATAAAAATAAATTCATTTCTATTTCTTCAACATAAACTACAGCCATAANATTCATTTCAAAATAAATTCATATCAAAATTATTCTTCAACATAAACTACAGCCATAAACTAAAATTTTACATAGATAGACCTGAATAAAATCAATTAATTACCCCCCAAGTACTTTGCTCATAAATCGTATGATATTTATGGGCACATATTTTGTAAAAAAACGGATGTACACAAAACTGAAAAATTCTTTTCACGTAAATGTCGAAAAAATTTCACTAAAACTAATGAATTCAGTAGTTAAAAAACCTAGCACAGGGGGGTCGCGGCACAGTGGTGACGTGGCATAGATGGATCAAGTATAATGATATCTGACAGTGATTAAAATCACTATCAAAAAAAAAACGCTTCGATGCAAATCTTTAGATAGGGGTTAATTTTAAAAAATTCGTGAATTATTTCAAAAGCTACATAATCTGCTAATTCCTTATTAATATCCTGATTAAGATAAAGTATGTCGAAGGAAAAAGGAATTATTAAAAAATATTATTTCTCATTAAAAAATTATGTTGATCCATAAACTTTTCAATAAGTTATAGCATTATAAAGTTAAAAATTAAAAAAATTAAATCGTGAATTTTCACACAATAATAGCATTCGGTAGTCAATTTCACCCTGAAGACAAAATAAAGTACGAAATTTTTTTTACCATAATAAAGTATATTACAATAGCATTAATTTAAGATATATATATAAGTGTCAGACTTTCCGGAACACTTTTAAAAGTTAAGTTGAAAAAGTAGTCATTTTAAATCCCTTAGCAGGAAAAGAGTCAGATTTATAAAAAAAATATACCAAATAAAAGTTAAAGAAATCATGCATCTATAAAATAAAAATTATATTGATTTGGTTATTTTTAAAAAAGTTATGGCAGTTTTAAGTAAAAAAAATGTTTAAATTTTTTGAAAATTTGTAATTTTTTTGAAGATTTCCCCCATTTACGGGGATTGAGGGAAATTTATTCAATTTTTGAGGGTAATGTCTTTGACTAGATACAATTCTAGGTACGATGATTTTTTGATGTACCGTTGAAAGAAATTGGTTCAGAGAGAGCTGAGTAAAAATGGTAACAGACAAAAAAAAGAACACATCATAGTAAAACCAATACCTTCTCAGCTTCGTATCGAAGATAAAACTGGGTTATTATTTGAAAAACTAAAGTTGATATTGATTTGAGGGTTAAGGGATGAAGACGGAATCTTTATTTTTCTTGTCAAGTAGCTCAACAAATATTTATAACAAATACAATAATTATATATATGATAACACTAATATTTTTAAAAAAAATTTGTAAGGCATAGTTAGTCAATCACCCTGTACATATACATGACCTGCTTAATTAAAGGAGATAAGATAAAATATTTTTTTTTAGTTTAATTGTTTTATATTTATATCACATTATTACCTACCTCTAAAAAAAACACTTTATAGAAAAGCAAATCAAAAATTATAAAATAATATTAATTAATGACTTACTAAAGTAGGTGATTTGTTTACACTGGGTTTATCAAAGAATTATCAGATAAGTTAGTATTGCTTGAATTATGATAATTTTTCAATGAATCAGTAAGATTGTTATTTGCTGTAGAATCCTGTATAATCATTATAATAAGGTAGAAGATTAATTTATTATACTTTCATATCATATATTATAGTAATATATAAAGTTGAAAAAGTAAATTTTTTGTGAAAAAGTTGTCATTTTGAATCTCCCCCTGAAGGTAGGTAAAAAGTCAGATTTATAAAAAAAATATACCAAATGATAGGTAAAGACATCATGCATCTATAAAAAAAATTAATTATATTGATCCATACATCTTTCAAAACGTTATAGTATTATAACGTTAAAAATATACAAAGAATTTTTTACAAAAATCGTATTTTTTTTATTAA